AGTCTTCGCCAGCCCCTCTTCATTCTAATGCCTCCCCTCTGCTAATTATTTCCTGTTTATTCTGTATATAGCTTGTTTTATATATTTGCATGTTGTTTCCCTCATTAGATTACAAGCTCCTTGAAGGCAGGAGCTGCCTTTTGCCTCTTTTTGTATGCCCTGCGCTTAACACAGTATCCAGCACATAGTAGGCACTTAATAAATGTTTACTGGTTGATTATAAACTTCTCCTCTTTCATGAAGAGAGATCCTGGGTGACAGACCCTCAGTCCTTCACCAGGCCTGTATGGGAAGCTTTTACAACCTAGTAGAGCCTTTCAGATCTTACCCACTGCTGGCATAGCCCTCCAAGAACCCAGGGGCACCTCCATGCTGTAATGGGGACATTAGTGGAGAACTGCCCACAATGGTAACTCACAGTTCCATAGCCACTTATGGTTTCTGGGGTCTTGGGAAAGAATATCAAACCTGTTTTTTTGTTTTGTTTTGTTTTGTTTTGTCAGCCAAGACTTGGGTTCAAATCTGTCCTCTGACCCTTACTAGATGTGTGACCCTGGGCAAGGCATTTAACCTCTCCAAGCCTCAGTTTTCTCTTCTGTAAAATGGGAGTAATAATCCCTGTAATTCCTACCTCATAAAGTTGTTTTGAGGATCAAATGAGATCATGTTACATAGAAGCCCTTTGAAAACTTCAAAGCTCAATAGAAATGTTAGGTATAATTATTACAGGGTGCTTTTTGCCACAACTCTGTGGGGAAGATAGTATAAAAGTTATCTGTATTTTGCAGATGAGAACTGAGCCTTAAATTGGACTAGTGGCTTTCCCACTGTGAAGTGACTTGTATGCAATAGAACTGAGATTGAGATCTGGATCTGTCAATTGCCAATTCAGTATTATTTCCTTAAACAAAATTCACCCAACCAGACATTTATTAAGCACCTGCTGGATGCAATGCACTGCGATAGGGCAAGATGTAAAGACAGAGGAGGCCTTCTTTTTTTCCCCCTTTGACCACGCTGCTTTTTCACTTAACCTATAATAGCTTACCTTCCAGGGCCAGGGTTCTTAACCTTACTGCATGTCTTGGACTGTGTTGAAGCCTATGGACTTCTTCTCAGAATAACGTTTTTAAATGCATAAAATAAAATACATAGGATGACAAAATGACTACACAAATACATATATATCTATATAAATATATATAGATATATATAGATACATATATATTTCTATATGAACAAGATCACAGATATCAAGTTAATGAGCCCTGCTCTAGGATCCAAACCAGAGGAGACTTTATAGATGACCTGGTTTGACACAGCCCCGGCCAAATCCCAATCTGTTAATTTTATGGAGGAAAAACAAATGAATTTCAAAGAGAGGATGTGACTTGTCCGTGGTTGGGCAGGTAGCACAGAAGCAGAGCTGAGGTTGAGACCCAGGCCCTCTGACTTCTCAGTCCCCCAGCTTTCTTCCTCTAGATGATGACACTTCTCTCTCTGTTTTATCAGCTACCTTCATCTTCCCACATATGGGGCACAGTGATAGTCATTCCAGTGAGACCCTGACTTGTCAAGTATCATTTGATACTTTTCCACTCCTGGAATAAATATTATATATGCTACTTATAATCCTGTCATCTTTCTTCACTTTGGTTTTTTCCTCCCAGCGGGCAAGCCTATGTGTAGTCCTAAACATATCTGACAAGGGTGGAGCACATAGGCACATGATACATAGGCACACACAAGTTACCTGGGTGCCAATCATAACTGAACAGATCATATCAAACCTCATCTTGAAGGAGGACTTCCCCTCTTCTCTTCTGAAGAACTGAAAGACCCATCCCAAACCTCACACTTTCCAGTCATGCTTATTCAAACCTATTAGTGTTTTAAAGTTGCTAATGAGGAACTTGTGATGCTGACAAACCAATTTTCAAAGTGATTTTTTTTCCCCTTTTCGATACCCAAAGTCTTGGGTTATGCCATCAGTCATACCAAAGTTTCCCTAGCCAGAAAGAAGCAAAGAATGGAGGTGATAGCCCAGATGCAGAGGAACTGAGGTTCTCCCTCGTTCCCTCATGCAGGCAAAAATACAAGGTGGTTGTTTTAAAAGACAGTGTACCCCCACTTTCTCTAGCATCTTTAAGGCTTAGGAAACACTTTCCTCACAACAGTATAACATGGTACCTAGGGAATGCAAGTACAGATTTAGAACTGATAGGGACCATAGGGGTTATCTGGCCCAACACCCTCATTTTACAGATGAGAAAACTGATTGAGGTCCAAGAAGTTTGGTAACTTTAGTTAAGTAAATGAAATAACTCCCTCTTAACACTTCCCTTCCTTATCCCAACTGTTTCCCTGTTGAGATTAATGTATTTTTTACACCAGACGCTGTGTACGTACATAATGTGCATGTATGCATCTGTTCAACTGTCCTTTGTCTTATTCACATAAGAGTGAGGTTCAGAGAGATGGCTTTTAAGAAGGACATTGCCAAACTAGGATGTTCTGAGGAAGGCAGCCAGGAAAGTGAGAAGACCATACTCTGTGCATTCTGCCACATAAAGAATCATAGCTAGAACTGGGGATTTTTGGACTGGAGAAGAGAACTTGAGAGACGAAGGAAATGTGATCAGAAACTCATTGAAGGTCAAAGCTGGAATATCATCTTAAATTCATCTAGTGCCAGGGGTGGGGAACCTGCGGCCTCAAGGCCACATGTTGCTCTCTAGGTCCTCGAGTGGGGCCTTTTGACTGAATCCAAACTTCATAAAAGGATTTGTTTTGTAAAACAGACTCAGTCAAAAGGCCGCACTTGAGGACCTACAGGGCCACATGTGGCCTCAAGGCCGCAGGTTCCTCACCTGTGATCTGGTTCAACCCTGTCACGGATGAGTGAGGAAGTAAAGACCTAAAGAGTGACCTCTGAGTTCCCTTCAAGCCCTGAGTCTCTGATCCTGTCACTTACCCAAGGTTACACCAAGAGTGAGTGGCTGAGCCAGGATTTAAGGATTGGAGGTCATTTGACACCATTTCCCCACTCTTACCCCCAATCTAGTGCTCTATTATACCAAGCTGAAAACTGCCTTCAAATACTCAAGAGCTGTCATATTAGTCAACAAGCATTTATTAAACATCTCCTGTGTGCCAGGCACTAAAGAATGAAAAATAGATTTGCTCTAGGTCACTTCAGAGGGCAGAAGTAGAACCATGGAGGTGAAGTTGAAGGCAGATTTCAGCTT